CGTAAAATGTGCTGTGCATAGCGATCGCGTAACTGATAAGAATGGTGTGCTTTTTCAATATAGACATTTCTCTCTTCCATAGTCATTTCATCCCAACTTTTGGCAGCTTCTGCCGTAATGCTCCATATGGATCGGGAACGATTGCGAACAGTTCTGCGGCAAGAATTTAAATAATGGAGAAAGGGATTACGACTTTGCATCTCCTCTTTTGTTTGTTCCTTTCTCCTTTGCTTGTTGTTAGTCGAAGACAATTCCTTACAGATTTTGTAAAATTTACCGAATTTTCCCACAATTTTTATTAGCGAAGAAGAACTTCTCTTCACATAACTTCTAAATTTTGTGAAAAAATTTCGATTTTTTTCAATTAAACACCAAATTGCGATATAAAGATGATTAATACCTACTATGACGAATCATTCGAAATCAAGTGTATTTTAATACAAACGCACTGAGTGCTTGAATCGATTTCATCTGGTTTCCATACCCTACAACACCTGTGATACAAGGCTATATATTAAGCTTGTGCGAAGGTGTGCATAGGACCTTTTATTATGTCGATCGGTTTAAGCTTGTATGTACGTCTGTCCATCTTTTTTCTTGTGTTTAACCTAAAGATCGTATTTTTAAAGATATTTTGATGAAATTCGGTACACGAACGTTTTTAGGTGTGAGGACGAACGTTATTGAAAATGCTTCGGATCGGGCCATTCGTTCGACCACTACCCCTGTACCGCCTTATTTTGAAAATTCGTCATATGAACAATTGCATTAGGTAAAGTAGTGTAGCGTATTTAATGGTAGGCCATTAACCCACTATAGTTTTCCTACTTGTTTTATCAAGTTTTTGAAAGTTTTATCCGACGTTGAAGCTCAGAACTATTTCCTCGTATCGACGATACAATGGAAAAGTTTGACCTTCAAATGTATATTGCAGAAAAAAATTAAAGGAAAAATTGACGAAAAAAACCGTTAGTTCTATCATCCACACTATTCACATATTAACCCTAACCCCATTCCATATCTATATTCTATCAACGTCGGGAAAGTCAAGATCAAAATATTCATAAGAAACAGACTTGGGCATACCGTTGAAACACATCAGTGGATCCTTAAGAATTCTACTTCTCCGATGTGCGATTGCAAGCTACATCTTACGGAATGCTTAAATCTCTCTAATATCCGAAAATTTGTTCTCGGCGCATCTAACCCTATAGACATCTTAAGAATACTTAGAGAAGAAGAAGAGCTGTTAGTCTCAGTTGCTACTATTCATCGTACTTGTTGTCCTAGAATATATTCTGGTCTAAATAAACTATGATAATAGCATTACGTTTGAAAGTCATTTTGTGATAGAAATCCTTGTTTTTCGATAGGTTTTGAGGCAACGTTAAGGTTAAATTAAATTAACATTATTCGAAAATTATGAGACGTATAAGCCGATGTTAATTTTTCTAAAATATCTCTAGTTGTTCACATATCGGAATGATTGCAAGCAACGTGAGTTGGTATCGTGGCATATAAAACATATAATAATCTTCTATACAATGAGAGCCGAGAACATCCATCCTTTTAGGTTCTTCTATCACACAAGTCTTCTCTGTCCTTTTTTAAAACAAACTCGACTATTAGAGCATTCTAAGAACTGATATGCATAGTTTATTCGTTATAGAAATTGGTTTTGGAACACAATATTTTCAGCCAGTAAATAATTTCTCGCCGGTGAGAAAATCCACAGTCAATTCTGCAGAAGCGCAACATGGTTACTCGAACTTCATTACGACCAAATGGAAACATTTCTTATCCAACTTTACTAATGGATCGAAGTACGGCGTTGTAGGCAGCAATCTCTGGTTTCCATATATTACCATCGAAGCTATATTTCTGAAATCATCCATGCAGTTACATATTTTCGGCTGAATGTCTTGCGATCCTGGAATCCATTCGCTCAGCGCGTACTCAATCAAAAAAGAAATTCCTTGTTGTGTCAGACAGTAAATCTGTCTTATCTGCCTTGCAATCGTTTTCTCCAAGTAAAACCGTCCAGTATGTGTTAGAAATCAGATCATTACTATATAATTTCAAATCTAATGCACTTTGTTTTCATTTTTTTTTTGGGTGCCTAGTCGCATGGACAGAAATACCACTGCAGATAATATTGCATCTTCCAGACCATTACATATTAATGATCGTGTTCTGATTTTCACTGATTTGAGGGCAATCTTTAAAAAGTACTCAGCCTTTTCTTGGCAACGGCGCCATATATACATATATAAATACATAACTTTGATTTCTAAATTGCGGTCTCAGAGTAGGCATAATTTGCCCTATTGGTTGATTGGCTGATGTTCAATCACACGAGATGCAATAATCATCTGTTCACAATGAATCCCCCTTGTGTGCGTGTAGGGTATTGCACTCTGTCTCTTTGTCTATCCGAATGTTGCCAACAACCAATTTTCATGAGGAGGCAGAGAGACATTCACGCGGATCCCAAATCAAATTCCTAAAGATAAACAGTAACAATTGCTTTTGAAAGGACTCAATTGAATACATACACAACACCTATGGGAAGGAGACCACAAAACAGAGGTTTTTGTAATGCAAGAATCCTTAAGCTCTTTAGATACCTAGCGCGGACCAAGCGTTAATTGAAGAGAGCTCAATCCGCAAATTAAAACAATCTTTTTTCGAATAGAAGCCTTATATCGATGAACGAATCCACGTTTGCCAACTTATGTGAGTCAATGAAATACCCAGTATTCCTCCTTGAGAAAGCTTCTTACATTTTTCTAGATTGCGAGAGAAAATGCATTGAAATTCTGGGTAGATTTTCCAAATAATCTTCTATGAAACCTTTCCCCAGCGCCTTTGTCTCTCATATCTTTCATACTCGATAGTTATGAATTTTTTAACAAAATATATTTCTCATAATTATTTCAAATACAATTGCATTAACGCATGAAGCATAAATTAATTTTAATATTGTTTTATTGATTTCAGTTGAGATAGGTGAAGCGAAGTTTTAAATGTGAGTTAACCACTTTAACATTACGTTCGATCCAATTTATGTTATGATGAATCGTTTCCAAAGCATTTAAAACAATTTTCTCGCTTTTGCGAAAATATTTACGTTTTCTATCAATCAATTGAATTAATTGATTACGATCTTCATATTTAACGACTTGACTGGCCAGCGGTGATAGTAAATTGCCCAACTCTTGTGTATGTGAACCGTAACTAAAATATATAAAAAAAAAAAAAGAATTTTTTTTTAAAAAACAAAAACTTTTAATAATTATCTTAGAAGAAAGTTACAAACAATTCATATAATTGATCGATGTTACTTATGAAGTAATCTTTAGCCAATGTAAAACCAATTTCGTTGCGTGCCACCGAACTAAAAGCAAATGTAGCATCTTGTCGTCTTATGTATTCATTTTTATCGTAAGCCATATTAATATATGTCCGTAATATGGTAGCATTATTTGAGCACGATAATGAAAAGATGATTGCATGCTTCTCGGAGGCAACATTCGATGCCAAATAGATTTGCCATAAAAAATTCCAATCATCTTTACCGCCATGCCTTATAGCGGTACAATAAACAATCGGTCTTATGTCTACCGGTATATGATTATTATCTTGTGGATTTGCCGATTGTTTCCATTCATGGAAATATCTAATTGCGGTATTGATACAATCATGAATTTCCAAACGACAAGCCCAACTCGATATTAAAGATTTATGCAAAATTGTTATGTGTGACATTTCGTATTCCGGACGAGTATAATTCAAACCGTTTAAATAATAGTACACTGGCCTTATAATTGTACGCATGAAATGTTGAAATGTTTCATAGGTCGGATGAAAAGTTCTTAATAAACGATTGACGTGACTTAAACTCTCCAAACCAGCTCGCCAAGGTAGATATTGCCTTTCCAATATCATATATGATAGAAAATCGAATGTGATATCATAATCGGTATAACCACCCCAGGCTAACCATAATATATCATCAATTAATTGAGCTCGATTTAATACATGGATACCTTGAAATTTATTACTATTCAAGGTTTGATTTAACATCACCCAATTTTGAAAATCATACATAACCCGATACAGTCCCGATAATTGAATATTGAAAAGTATCCATTCGTTGGGCGCGACTACATTTTCCATTGTCAATTGCACTTGTTGCTTGAATTGATTGCATTGCAGCCATTCCGACGGTGCACTGGCCGAAAAATCCATTTTCGATGAAGTCGTAAATGTCAACGGGATCCACCAACATTTTTCGGATTCAGTTGTCACATACGTATTATTTTGCAAAAATCGTTGTTGCGTTATTTTCACTAAACCACTGTTGTAGTCACGCTTTACTTTCACTAGAGGATAACCAACTTGTAGAGTCCAAGAATCCATGATAATTTTCATGTCATGTTTGGGATCGATACGTTTGAGTAGACGAGCTCGCTCGGTAAATGCAGCCCATAAATCATCCTGTTGAGCATTTTTATAAGCATGTACTAATAAATAGCGACGTATACCTTGAAAGAAAGCATCTTGACCAAGTATCATATGAATCATGCGTAAAGCAGCCGCTCCCTTCTTATACGAAATGGCGTCAAAACGTTCGGCAATTTGATGCGTACTCTCAATCGGCAACGAAACTGGATGACTGCTGAGTTGGGAATCGCGTCTGAAAACCGTCAAGGTATTATCTAAAGCCTCCTCATTTAATGAACCCCATTCCGGGTTTAAAAAGGCTACGCCCAAGCTTGCGATATAAGTGGCGAAACCCTCATTCAACCATAAATCGGACCACCATTTCATTGTCACTAAATTACCGAACCATTGATGAGCCAACTCGTGAGCTATTACGTCAGCGATACGTTGTCTACTAGTTTCTGATGATACATTTTCAGCAAACAATAATGCAGCCTCACGATATGTAATTAAACCCCAATTTTCCATTGCTCCCGCCCCTAAATCTGGAGCGGCAAATTGATCCAATTTCTTCAACGGATACGGAATAGCAAATATATGTTCGTAGAATTTTAATATTTTCGGACCTACTTTACTCGCATAATTGCATTGATCGATGGCCTCAGGACGTGACCATGTGCGAAACATAACATTAGCGTCCCCCGATGATTTGTAGGCAAAATCATGCACAGCAAAGGCAACAAGATATGTCGACATTGGTACAGATTCTTCGAAAATGCTCCATACATAATCGGTCATATCGGATCTAATGGAAATAATTACAATAGATCTAATATACAGCATGCTTAAGAATGAAAAGACTTACATGGGTTGTTGCCTTTCCATGGGCATATTACTTAAAGCGGTCATTGAACGATGATGGCCCAACCATATCTTAAATTTCGCTTTATAATTTGGCTCATCGAAACAGGGAAAAGCAGTTCGAGCAAAAGCCGGCTCAAACTGAGTCACTGATAGCCATTTCGTTTCATTGGTCTTCTTCAATATATACGAGCTGCGATAATAACCGTTCAATTGATCGTTTAACATTCCCTTAAACGATATTCTAATTTCGGCCTCTTCTCCTGCTATCAATCTTCTGCATAAATTTATTATATAATAGTTATGTTCTGGCACAATATCGACATATAGACCGCAATAATAAATGCGATTATCATCCAAAGTTTTCAACTGTATACGATTGTGATCTATGATCAAATTTTGTGAATGTAGCGTCAAATTATTAGTGTCTACCATCGTCTTAAATCGAATAGTCACTACGCCATTAAACGTTAGATTTGGTGGATTATCAAAAAATGTAATAATCTTTAAATTATAATGTGTCGGTTGAATCGATGTCGGCAGACGATAATGCTTATAAGAGTGCTCTATATTGACTTCAGAGGACACCTTCTTGAAGCAAAGGAGAGCCAATATAAAAGCGAAAAGAATTAAGCGAGACATTCTCTAAAAAATATATTTTTTATATAATTTCTAATGTCACTTGCGTGATGATATGTGAGGAATAAGTATGACGATGATTACTCTATCATCTAAGGCTTCTAGACTGAATAATCTTTTTTTGATTAATATCGAAGAAAAATCAGCAAAATGTATTTTTAAGTTCAACTGATAGCCAGAAAATAGGCGATAAACATTTAGCTGAAACTCAGCTTTCGCCATTGTATTGGGCTATTTGAGCCAAACAGCTGAATGCAAAATCAAGAGCATTGTGGTAATGACATAGCTGAAAGTCAGCTTCCGCCTTTGCGTTTGGCCACTTTTGTCGAACAATTAAATACGAAAGCGAAAGCTTCGGGGAAATCCCGTAGCTGAAGATCCCTTTCCGCCTTGTGTTTTCTCACTTTTGCCAAAAAAGTGAATACGAGAGCGAAAGCTTGGGGGAAACCCCTTAGCTGAAGGTCAACTTTCGCTATTGTATTCAGCTGTTCGGTAAAAACTGCTCAATACAAAGGCGAAAGCTACATTTTTCATACGTGAAAAGCATCACGATTTACACCAGCGCAGTGGATCATCTGATGGGTAATCATATGGCGGTAAGTCAACTTCTGCTTTTATATTTAGCCGTTTTTGTCGCACAGCTGGATATGACACCAAAAGCTAAATTTTTCATACGTGATTTCCCCCCTGGTTGTTCATTCGCTGGACTGTAGAAGAAGAAGAAAAAGGAAGCAAATCTTGTTTAACCTTTAAATTATAGTGAGGTCGACAAGCCAACGAAAACCATGTTTGAAATACAAAAGAATGCACTTTTCATATACTTTCAATTAAATCTATACCAAGGTTAAACCTTCTAGGTCTCATATATAATCTAATAATATCCAAATGTACATTGTCAACTCAGCTTCTGTAATCAGTGAACGCTTCGATAAAAGTTGATTTTTCTTAGTTGATTAGGTTGGTTTAAAGTTAGCTGCGCCGTTCGCAATGCAGTAAAAATTGTGTCGCGTTATTAAGTCGTCCCTCTTTTTGTAATTGCGACATTTGATTTTTTGATCTACATCAGGGGTGGGCAACTTTTTTCATTTACGGGTTATTTGTAATTCTTCCATCACGGTGAGGTATTATTAAAATTACGGCATTATGTATCAATTTTCCTTCTTTTTAAATCGCCTCATGGCCTTTTATACAAAAAAAAAAAAAAAAAAGAAGAATTTAAATACATATACCAGCTACGTAGTTAGGTCGTTAGTGAGGATCCTTTGCAGCATTGTTATGTGCGAGCAAATTGATTTATTTGAAATTTCAAACGCAGCAGGCCGAATTTGACGACAACACGGGCCAGCGACTGCCCATGTCTGATTTACTTCGTATACTGTAAACATTTTAAATCGTGGTTTCTTGGAAGATATGAGATAGACACTTTCCAAATTAATTCAAGCTTCCCTGTCCGTCTTGTTTTTTTCTGTTCAACCTACACGTCGCAGTTTTCGAGATATTTTGATGAAAATATCTTTAGAACCATTTGCAATATAAGTTAGAAATATTATTATTATTATTATAAATAATTCGGATAGAGAAATAAATTCTAAAACTAAAATCGTAAACCATTAGCATCCGCTTAATTGAAAACTCTACCGCATTTGAAAGTTTAACCCGCGACCATTGATTCTTTGCTACTCGGTTTAGTTAAAACTGAACGCCTAAATGGCGTTTGAAAATGAATATTAATTTTTAATTAATTAGTATTAAGTGAAGTGTTGTAGGATATTGTACGGTATGAGTTGCGGTGTCACTATAGTGTTTTCTATATGTTAGATATTAGTTTTCAAAGAATTGTAAGCAAATATTTGATCCAACTTAACTTAAAAAATGAACATAAAAGCTCAAAAAAGTGAAAAAAAGAAAATTTAATCACTTGTAATTTGGTGTTGGCAAGGCCGAATTATTCCATTTTTCCACGTAAAAGGTAGAGCGCTTCGTAAAATAAATGTGGAAAATTTCCGAGTAACGAGCAAAAACCAACAGACTTTTGCTAAGAAAAACGAAGTTGCGTTTAGTTTACGCCCCACTGCGGGCTTTTGGTCTGACCAGTATGGCCCATTTTCAATACCAATCTGCGCGCAAAAACTTCCAAATTTAAAGTTGACATCTTCATTTTTGCGACCAGGGGAATGTCAAGAACAAACACCACACAGACATACAGGCGGACAGACATAACTAAGCCAATTCAGAATTTCACGCTGATCAAGCTCAAGGTGTCTGAAGCTTCCTTTTCGGTGTTACATGCATTATGGAAAAAAACAAAATCAGTATACACCCATTTTACAGTGGTGGGTATAAAAAATGGAAAATAGATACTAAGAGTAACATTTTAGTTCGTCTATATTTAAGTGTTTATGTTTGTGCACTTAAAATATATATTAATTACTAAAAGATTGCTTTAGTGCGAAAATATCCCTGACCCAAACGTCTCTTTAATGGTCACATTTTGGTTGATTTTGACACGCGGCCAGAAAAGGTTGCCGAACCCTGTTACACGGTGGTGTAATACTTTTTATAAAAGAAATTCATGTTTACTTACGTATTTATTAATTCATAGAAAATAATAGGTCTTGAAAATTACTGATGAGTAGGCGTTGAAAATATTCTTTCAATCGGTAAAGGAAAATTTCAGAGGAATTTATCATTTCATTCATTCAGACATTAAAGACCGAGAAGTAAGAAAGCAGAGGGAAAATTTACGATAAAAAAATTTGCGGTAAAAATCGGCAAAATTGCGGTAAAAGATTTTTTAAAACGAAATAAAAATTTGAAAATGTATTACTTACTTTTTTTCGTAGGTCTTGCAAAATGGGCGACAATGGATGCTAATGAGGATTGCAGATCAAATCGTTTTTCAATTTCGCGGGAGCTATTTGCGTGGCTTTCATAACCCGAGTGGCAAACGACGACTCTATTCTTTTTTTTTTATCACTCCTGTCTCAAATGTGTAGTAGTTTAATTTCACGTAAGGGCGATAAATGTTCTCATTACCGTGTAATCTTTTGTGCAATGTGCTGGAAGATTACATGCTGCGATATATTTATTCGATCATATTTCGATGATGTTTTCAAATACAAGCGTACGAGTTGATGCAAACTCACCATGCATGTATGGCATAGCCGCAGAGTGCAGGGAGTGCAGCAGAGCAAGAAATGGTGAGTATTGAATAAAAGTATCAGACTTGATGCAAAGACTGAAATTGCAACAGAATCAAACTTCTATCTGAAAAGTTATGCTTAGTTCAATGTAGAATTCCATCGAAGCAATGTAATTGAAATTTGATTTATAATCAATTGTTCAATATAACCATTTCAGACTATTATTTATCCCAATCGATCGCGTAGCAAATTTTTGGGTGAAGTGAGGCAAGGAGACAATGATTGATGAGATTTTTAGAAATGCTGACGGGGAGGCAGTAGGTTTCCTTTGTCCTTATACACAGTTAGGTTTATAAAAAGTGACAATATCTTGTCGCGAGACATAATTAAATATAACTGAGGTCAATTATACAAATGCTTGATAAAGAAACCTGTCGAGAAGTTTGGCCTCTCTAGGTTTTATATCAATGCTTGAATATAATAAGATTCAATAGATATATGAGGAGTGAAATTGGTCTTTTCTTGACACGTTTTTTCGTGTGTGTTGGTCTTTAACCTTAATCGGGCAAGTCTTCCATAAAGCTGAATTGTACAAAGATATTATGTAGGTGGTATACTGCATACTAAGCACTTATGGCCTTTGGAGTCTCAACATAAATTCTATTGTTTTAATTCTATTCTTTCTAAAAAATTTCAAAATCAGTTTCAGGTGGGTGTGTAGGAAACTTATTTTCAAAATAATCTAAGTTTTTTTTTTTTGTTTCAATTCGAGATAAGTGATAGCTCATCTTTAAGCAGCATCGAACGGGAATTATCAATGGCCAAAGAATTGCTCGAGCAATGATGATAAAGCTGTAAACGTGCGGTCAATCCTTAGTTGAAAATAAAATATCATGGATTCTGTGCAAGGCTTTTCAATGCCTATTTATTTCTACCTACGTTAGAAGAGCAATAGTTATCAAGATTCTAAATCGATGCATGTGGTGTAGAGCGCTGGCAGAAAATAAAATCCGGAATTCTGGTCGAATGCAAAAAAAAAAAAAAAATGAAATTTAAATAATCATTTAAACAGCTGGAATTACGTATGCCTTCCCACTATCGAACTTGAAAAAAGGTAACGAAAGTGCGGTGATGACCAAAGCTGCAAGAATATCGGAGAACTTCGGATGGAATAATTTCTGCGCCAAAAAATTTTTCATTCCTCTGATGATAATCAAGTTTTGACCTTCTCGTCATTGCCTCCGACACTTGTATATTTACATTATTTTATTACTCGATGGATCATTATCATTATGTAAGTCTTGCTGTTGATGTTCGCAGCTAAAGTAGCAAAGATATGTGTGCAACAATGTGTGATGGCGTTTTTTAATGATTAAATGATATGCACTGCTGATGTTCTCAAATATTCTTCGGTAATTCGATGCGATTAGATTTAAAATGATGCCGCTAAATAATACATTGATCTCTACATGTGTTGCATATTATATAATATGTTATCTAAAAGCGATCTTAATGAATACTTTCATCGCATTCGGTGGAATTGATGTACTACCCATTTGAGATGGGAGTGCTTGAAATGACTGAAAAGACTTCTCTATTTTTTATAATCATGTAATTGCTTTCCGTAAATTGATGAACGAATTGGTTTGCAAAAATGTTTATATACTATATATATACATATATATATAAGAATATACATTAATGTATATATGTATGTTGACTATTTACGCGTTTGCCCTGTAAATATAACATCTTTTGAAAATAAAAAATTTATGTATTGGTGAAATGTTTCAGTAATGTAAATTTATGCATGCATTCTCTCACGCATTTTTTTAAAAGATGCTTTTGTAAACAAGAGATTACTGTTTACTTTTATTTCTCATCTATAGTAAAGAGCTAGTCTCTCGCTCTCTCTTGCTAAAAAGAGATCGTTTTTATTTTTTTTTTGTTAAATTGATAATCTTTGCTCCGCAAGTAATGCTGCAGTGAGAGCTTAGTTGCTTTTAGAAATAAAAGATGGCACGATGTGTTTTAGTAATACGCGTATATTAGCCGGTATATTATTAGTGGTTTAAAAACAAAAAAAAAAATATTGCAAATTAATGATGAAAGCGGGAATGATGAATTAAATGAATAATGTCGGATTGTGAAGAAGGCGTCGAAATTAATTAAATCGCTTTGCAAATATAATGATGTGATGTGCGTGTGTTTTCGTGTATTTAAAAAAACTCATGTTCATTCATGGCAGCAAACGCTGTTGCATAAATGTCGTTGTATATGTTTATGTGGTGCGAGAGTTTTTTTGTGTGTGTAAAAGATTCATGGTCATTAATGTTTAGCGCAAAATTACTAAAATATATATTAATAGCCACTCGAAAATATATATATATATGCATGTAAAAATAATGAAAAAAACTCCACAATTCCACAATTTCATAATAAAATAAAAAAAAAAAACAAAAATCGTTAGTATTTAATTTTTGTATAGACAACTTAAATGATGAATATAAGAGAAAAGGTCACGAAGTGCTGTAATATGATTTTCACTGGTCATCTGCAAAAAGATACGTTTTGCTTTTTATGAGAAGCGCGAGAGAAGTGATCGTTATTCGTTGCATTAATCGTAATAAAATGTCGCTTAAAGAATTCGCGTTCAATTAATTTTAGCTAAAGTAAAAGAAAGATTGCTTTGCCTTATTAAAAAAAAAAGTCAACATATCTAGCATAAGCTTAATAAATATATGTTAATAAATGTGTTCGATATACGTAAATAAAATTCATTTAAGATAGGTTTTTCGAAATTATTTTAAAATGTAGTGCTCATAAAAATATATGTATTTTATTTTGAAATTCATATAAAATGTAAAGGTAAGTAATATATCTATTTGACGTACATATTGGATTGTCGTCAATAATTCAAATATAAGTAAACACTGAGTCGCTTTTAAAGCGCATATCTAAAGAGACAATCGTTCATTTAACCAAGTGCTTTGTATCTGTTTAATGAAGATCGCCTGACGTACGCTTTACTAAATATCTCTGCAAGATATCGGTATTGCGATTAATCCAACCGATATTAAGTTGAATTGTTTCCAAAGCATTTGAAACACTTTTCTGATATTCCTTAAAGAAATCTCTCTTTCTAGCTAATAAAGATTGTATTAAATTCATATCCTCCGTATTGATTATTTGACCTGCTACTGACGAAAGTAAGCTGGTTAAGTCATGCGAAGTAGGTCCGTAGCTGAAAAAAAAGGAAAAATTTGAAAAGTGTTTGAAATTTGTAAAAAGATCAATAAGTCGACTTCATAAGAACTTACAATTCATGTAATTGATCGATATGTTCGATAAGGTAATCCCTGGCCGCGGGAAAACTCACTTCATTACGTACCACGGCGCCGAAAGCAGCAGCAGAGTCTTGCTTGCGTATGTATTTATTCTCGTCAAAGATCAAATCAATGTAAGCTTTTAACAAAGTCGAATTTCGTGAACATGACAGCGCTTGGATTAAAGTACGCCGCTCAGTGGCCACATTAGATTCTTGTAAACGTTGCCATAGGAATTCCCAATCACTACGATCGCCATGCTTTATAGCTGTGCAATAAACGATTACTCTGGAATCAACCGGTATGCGATTGACAGACGATTGTTTCCATTCTTGGAAATACTTTACAGCCGTTTGTACGCAATCGTCTATTTTTAAATAACATGCCCACTTAGCCATCAGCATTTTATGCTTAAGTTTAACTTGAGAAATTTCCGTTGCTTTTATGGTATTATTTAAACCATCTAAACTATTATATACGGGTAGAATAATATCAACTAGGAATTTCTAAAATGATTTTAATTCCCATGAGTGTTCTATTTATTCCTTTTAACTCAGTTTAAGAACTTACCGAAAAAAATCCGTATGGTGTAGGGAAATTCTTTAGCAAACGATCAACATTTGCTAGGCCCTGCAGTGCCGTATACCATGGTATATATTTGTTTTCCTGCTTAAGATATTGCAACATATCTAACGGAGTATTGTAATCCATATAACCTCCCCAAGCTAACGATAGAACATCCTCGATTAGCTGAGCCCGATTCAAGACATGAATATCATTATATTTGTTGCTATTTAGAGTTCGATTCAATAAAATCCAATTGTTCTCATCATAGATAACTCGATATAGGCCAGATATTTGCACATTGAAAATGATCCATTCTCCTTTATTTGCAAGATTTTCTAAATTTATTTTTATATTTTTTTTGCCCTCTTTGCATTCGAGCCAATGTAGTGAATGATTTGTAGCAAAATCCTTTTTCGTGGCTGTTGTAAAGCTCAACGGCGTCCACCAACATTTATCATTATCATTAACTGATTGTGAATTATTTAATAAGAAACGTTGCTGCGATATCTCCACAGTCGCAGTATCATAGTTGCGTATAACCTTCACCAAGGGGTAACCGACTTGTAATGTCCAAGAGTCCATAATAGTTTTCATATCGTATCCAGGTTCGATACGTTTATAAAGATGCGCTCGGTCAGTGAAAGCGTTCCATAAATCATCTTGCTCGGCATTATTAAACATATTAATCATTAAATAGTGACGTATGCCTTCAAAAAAAGCTTCTTCACCCAGAATCATATGCAACATGCGCAACACCGCTGATCCCTTTTTATAGGAAATCGTATCGAAACGTTCATTTATTTGCTGCGTAGCTTCAATGGGTTGCGATATTGGATGACTATTGATGTGAGCATCATATTTAAAGACTCCTAAGATATTATCCATAGCATCTTCATTCAGCAACTCCCAATCAGGATTTAAATAATCGACGCCCAAATTCGACATATAAGTGGCGAAACCTTCGTTTAACCATAGATCTGACCACCATTTCATAGTCACCAAATTACCAAACCATTGATGGGCCAGCTCGTGAGCTATTACGGTAGCAATGCGCTCTCTATTCGATTCTGAAGATATATTTGGGGCAAATAGTAGAGTCGTTTCACGATAAGTAATTAAACCCCAATTTTCCATTGCACCCGCTTCAAAATCCGGTATAGCTATTTGATCAAGCTTTTTCAAAGGGAACTTAATGCCAAAACGATTTTCATAAAACATTAACAATTGCGGACCTATTTCAGCGGCATAATCGCATTGATTCATAGCTTCCGGACGAGACCAAGTTCGAAACATAACACCATTATCGCCTGATGACTTGTAAGTGAAATCGTTTACCGAATAGGCCACCAGATAAGTGGACATAGGTACGGATTCCTCAAAAACGCTCCATACATAGCCAGGCAATTCCGCGCTAAACACAAGACAAAGATTGTTAGTTAAAATTAAGAGAAGAAATAAAACGATTAACTAAAAAAGTTATGTTTGCTTGAGGATGAATTCTTGATAGTTACAAACTAAAATTAGTAGGGCATGGACCAGAAGAAATTTTTGAAAATCTCCTTTGCTAAGATGCCTTTACCGATCCGAAATCAAATACTTCTGCAAGTTGTAAACTTTGGTTAACTGTTTTTTGTGAGCTTTTATGCAAACTGACCGAAACCTCTTTTCCTCTGAAGTCTTAGTTAGTTACACCGAGTTTCAGACCAATATCTGCATTGAATTATAAGTTAAAATTTTTTTTCCATTATGAGTTTGGTTTAAGGCTAAAAATTAACACCACGTGCTTCTAATCTCAATTTTTGTTCCGCAACAAATCAACGGACGGACAGAGACACAAACAGGCAGATAAAGGGATATAATGAAATCGATAGGGGATCGTATAGAATGCTTATATTTTATAAGGCCGCTGATTTGTCGTTGGCTGGGACAAACCTGGCATATCCCGACACCTCGGCGATGCATATAAAACAAAAGCCAAGTATGGAACTTATATTCAATCGTCGCCAAATTTTCTATATATCAATAGCTCTACCTTAGAGCGAGTGAAATCCCTCTGGATTTTTGTACCGGAAAAAAAATTAATTTTGTACAATATGTGCACTTTTTGTACAAGTGCTGTAGTATCATCCATAGAAAAATTTTTGAAAATCTTCATCGTTGAATCCGCCCTACTTTATAAGTAAAGAGTAACCAGGAGGACGCTTGCTAAACGCTACAAAGCATATCTATATTCTTGATTAAACCGACTTAGGCTTGTCCGTCTGTCCATCCATGTATTTAAGAATGCATTCTGGTGTTGTGACCGGTCACTAGTCGTGAAAGCAAACAATGCCCATTCTTGTTGCAGTTGTTTTGACTTATAATCAATTTTGATATTCCGAAGGAATACTCTCAAGAAAACGCTTCAATTTTAACGCTATTGTAAAATAGGTTTATCAAGTCCGAGGGAATAATTGTAAGAAAACGCTTCAATATTAGTTTTATTATAAAATGGTTGTTAAGTCCCGCAAAATGCACAGAAAAAATTGCTCTATAACTTCTGATGTTTCAGAATAGAGCCCTGAGACATCATATTACGATAATAGTTAATATTCATCATTTAGCGACGATAACGACGTAAGTTAACACGAAACGTTCAATTTCAGGTCAAAAAACGAAAGCAGGGTTTTAACTCTGCTACTATGCCTAAAGTAAACTATTAAACGGCGATTATAGGTATAAAGGATCTCCAGCAAATATACCCCTATGATAATGCATATAGAAAACCTACATGAGTTCTTGTCTTTCCAAAGGCATATTACTTAAGGCGGTCAACGCCTTATGATGGCCCAACCAAATTTTGAATTTCGCTTTATAATTCGGTTCATCAAAGCAGGGGAAAGCGCTCCTAGCATAAGCTGGTTCAAATTGTGTTATCGATAGCCATCTAAAAGTATAAAAAATAAAATAAAATGAATATTTAATGAAACTTACAAGGGGAACTTTAAAAAAAAAAAAAGGCAAAAACTTACTTGGTCCGATTTGTCGACTTATCTAAGTACGAACTACGATAATAACCATGCAAACGCTGATTTAATGGGGCCTTAAATGCCAACGTAAGCGTGTACATTTCATCTTTTTGCAACGGTTGACACAAACTTATTATATAATAATCATGTTCTTCTAAAATCGTCGAGTCTTTAATGCAGTAAAGTGTACTGTTGTCGTCGTATTTCTTCAATTCGGTACGTTTTTCATCGATTGTTAGATTTTGAACGTGCAACGTTATATTATCAGTATCACTTAAAACTTTAAACAGTAAATCGACTTCGCCAGCAAACATAAGATTTGATGGATCTTCCAATTTCGTCATAATCTTCAAGGTATACACTTCCGGTTTTAGGGATGTAGGCAAACGATAATAGCCATAACTCTTAGGACGAGTATCGGATGATACCGTTAAACAGCAACAAAAACCAATTGCAATCAAAAACGTAACGCTTATCAATTTTATATGATGCCGTAACATTTTCGAAGAGTTCACGAATTAAAAGTAAAAATTTTGTATACAAAAAAAAATAAATCTGAAATATGAAAAAAAAAAGAAAAATTAAAGAAAGAAAGAGCTGAAGAGCAGCAGCAGCAGCAGCTTAAGAGAAGAAAAATTGAAATTCAGAATTGCTCAGCACGTACGAACGTAAAATGTCCGAGGGGGGCATACGAAATCATTTGAGTTCATTTATCACATATCTGTTCGCGTTCTGTTTGTTTGATTGTTTTAATTTTAAATCTATTTAGCTTCGCTTGTTCTACGAATCGTTTCTTATATCCGATATTATCTTTGTGATGCAAGGATATGCTAAGTTTGTGCGAATGTATATGCGTGAAATAGATGAACCTTTTATTGTACCGATTGATTCCGTAAGGATTTTGAATTTAAGCATGTCTGTCCGTCTGTCCGCAATTTTTTGAGATATTTTAATGAAATTTGGTACACCGACATGTTTTGACTCAAGGATGACCGGTACTACAAATGATACATATAGGACAATCTCTCTCTTCCCATCCTTCATCCGCTATAGAAAACATCTGATATATGCTTCGTAAGTTTGTTACAAATCAACAAGAAATTCAATCTGTTCCTTAGAAAACCCAAAAAAGTCCCAGATGTTTTTAAATTAACTTTTTTTAATGATCTTAAATTAAAATTAAAAAAACTAGTAGCGGATATGTAACGAGACATTTAAAGAAATTGCTCCGCTCGTCTATTGTATTTAGGCAATAGTTATTTAAAGCTTATTTCAAAGTGAAAATGAATTGTGAGTAATTTTTGGGCACAGACTCATTAACAAGCATATGCGTAAAGCGAAAAACTTGAACTCGACAAGAGGTTTTCCTAATAGCAGCGTGTTTGTTGAGGAAGAGGTTGTAAATAAACGACAATATTAAATCGGAAAGAGTTAAAATGCACGGATAGGGACTACTACTATGAAACACTACAACTCAAATATTGGCTTGCGAATGATAAATGTCCGTACCGTCATCACCCAACTTCAAGCGCATTAATATAACGTTCAAAAAGATGATCACAGTATTCTGTTTTGGACTTGATTTATGTTATTTACGACCCTCGCGCACGTAATTGTCTATTTAGTCGTATAACAATGCTGCAAGGTTAAGCACGACAGACAGAGAATAGAAGATGGGAGCTGGTTGAAAGCAAACGGTTAAAAAATATTGAAAGCCTCATAAGTCTTTTTGTTAATAATCCTTTTTTTACAACCCACTGTTAATTTATTTCTTTATTTATTTGATATTGTTCTTCTTTGCACATTTCTATATACAAGAAAGATGAAAAAAGTTAGTGATGTATACTGAAAGAAGTGGTTTTTTGAACCATGTCTTCCAACCGTCGACGAGACAGGGACTTCTACGATGAAACACTACAACTCAAGTTTTAGCTTGCGAATGATAAATGTCCGTAACGTCATCAACCTACTTCAAGCGCATCAATATAACGTTCAAAAAGATGATTACTCCCTTGCGTTCTGGACACTGAATAGATGAAAACACAATTGATTTATGTTATTTATGGCCCTCGCACACGTATTTTTGCCTATTTAGTCAAGGTTAAGCACGATAGACAGAGGATAGAAGATGGGGGCTGGTTGAAAGCAAACGGTTGAAAAATATTTAAAAAGCCTCATAAGTCTTTTTGTTAATAATCCTTTTTTTATAACCCACTGTTAATTTATTTATTTATTTATTTGATATTGTTCTTCTTTGCATTTTCTAATAGAAAAACTTGTTGAGTGAATTTCAACTTTTTTACTGCCGGCATGCAAAGCACGTTTCTATATACAACAATCCACACAAATACCTAAGCGCACGTTACTATCTTTGGAAAGCGTATGTTAAGTTTACATTTTGCTATATAAACAAGTTTTTAGGATTCTAGTTAAATAATTCTAGTTTTCTATGCTAAGGTCAATGCTTCCATTACGATTTAATAGTATGCTGAAAATAAAGTGTACTATACGCGCAGAAGTTTACTTAAGAGACTTTTTCATGTTTATATTTATTTTACGCCAATTATATAAAATGATTTTCGCTTAATTGGTTAAATGACGTTGTATGTTAAATTAACTGTCAATCGTCACAAAACAAAGTCATTTATTATTTTTAATTTTTTTTTTTTTTTGATAATTGTCTTCTATTTATTGAAATCATTTTAAATTATTTAACTATATTTGCAATACATTCAAATAGAATTTAATTCATTATATTTTGTATTTGTCTTTATATATTTGAGAAAAGTTGCAGTTATTTAAAGAAATTTCTTTCTTTTTATATTTCAGTTAATCTCAACAATTACACATTCGCGGTAAGTGTTGCTTCATTATGTTATCTTTCGCAGTTCCACATATGCTTAACTTTTCATATCGCAGCCCTTCTAATCACGATTTGTCGTGGCGAGCCTGACTGGGGCCAGTTAATTAATTAGCCTATTAGGTCTCTGGGACAATTAAATGAATCATTTTCCAACTGGAATTAATTCAACGAGTTCTTATTATTTATTGTTCAAACTCTACAAATAAAGCCTAGGATCCGACACTACCTGATAAATCAACGCTACTGATCTAAATATTAGTCAGCATCCAGATAGAACTAATTCATGCAAGTTACCAACTCTTTCAGAACGAACGCTTCCGATAATCGTTTATTTTGAAAAAAACCAAATCAAAAATCTTCCATTCTCTATTTATCTGTTTTTTGTATGCAAGTTCAGTGATCTTTGGGTTCAGTTATTTTCAGGGAAATCAAAATTAAAGGCTTTCTTTTCGCATTTCTATGCCGCCTTTGCTCGAACAATTTCTTCCATTTCTTAGCGAGTTTCGAATTCTACAACTAGCCAAATCGATTGTTGTATGATAAAGTAGCAACACCTCTCAACTAATGACTTCCATAATCCCTCTCTGTCTCTCCCTCCCTCTCTCTTTTTTTCTCTCTCATTTCCTTTGTTTTCTTTATTTCTTTCTTTTTGGGCAATTCATTGCAAAGCATTGTTGATTTCAAAAAAAATATATTTACATATTGTGGTCATGGTTGGAAAGTGATGACAGATAGGATAAGGTATAGAATGGCCCAGGGCTGCGTGTTTGGTAAATAGGTTTCGTGTATCCCTTTATTCCGATAAAAGTATAACATATGTATTTCTCTTAGATGTAACTGTCTGTAAATTGTCGGTAAGACAAAAATTTAAAACTCTCTCAATATCTCCCGAACTAGCTAACTCAGTAATTACACGTGCATCCCTCTCTACTGCCTCCAATCTGCCCAAAGTGGCACTTGAGTGTAGCGCTAAAAATAATCAAGTCCGTAGTTCGATAGTTAGACAGATTGTGACGACATACAGACATACAATACGGTAAAAATTTGCATATGTAAAATATAAATTATATATATATATATATATATATATGCAAAGGGGGACAGAAACATAAATGCGAGCTGTACTTTTCAGTTCGACACCAGAAAAATTGTTTCGCAGCAAATCGCACAAATAATTACTTCCCTTTCTAGATAATACGATATTTAATCTCCTAATCTGTTTTTCATACTAGATGTCCATAAATTCTTCAAATATTTGATTAAGATTATGCCCAAATAGCAAAATGATTACAGTTGCATAGCGGATGCCATAAAATGCAAAATATATATGCACACACACATATATATATATATATAATGAAGCTAAAGGCCAACTTTATTAAGGTGCAAACAAAAAACTTCTTCTTCACATTGGATTTTTTACTCAACTCATTTGCTCGCTGACTGGCACAAAAGGAAAAGGAGTCCATTTTTATTATACCTTGAACTAGAGCCGCAAAGTATTTATATCTATTTTCCCAGAAAAAGTCAGTATCAAAAATTTGGGCGTGGCTATTTAGGATTACATGAAAGTTGATGCATTAATGAATCCTAATTTTTTGTATTCTATAATCGAAACAAGTCAAAACGCTATAGAGGGTCATGGGCCAGCATTAGAAACCCAACATCATATTAGTTTTTAAAGCAAGACTTTGTATGGCAAGTAGTTGAAAAAGTGGTCCGATTCGAATCATTTTCAATCGCGTTCGTCCTTGGATCAAAACACGCTAGTATACCAAATCGACTAAACAAGCACAATACGGACGGAGGGACAAACAAGCTTAGGATAACTTTCTGAATCAGCGCTTTAATCAAAGATTAAGGAGTTTACCTCAAGTCCTTCCCGACCACTTCTATTACAAGTGAAGTAAGGTATAAGTAGTCCACTCACAGAATAGTGCTTTGATTACAGCCAAGCTGACGAGAGTTTTCCTGTCTTACACGCTTACAGTTAAAAGTGTTGTTATATTTACGCCACGATTAGCTTAATTAGCTCGTGATTGTCAAAGCAGTATAGAAAACGGACGAAAGAGTATTCTGTAGTGGTAAACGAGCCATGAAGAAGATATGACCTTATTAAGAGCATATTAAAGCCTATATTTAGTTAACTTTCGTTAAGGTAAAGTTATAAAAATAAAGTTACGTTATTGGCATTAATTAACGACGATATTTATTAAGAAATCATGCTCACACGATGGACACTTGAACGAAGGTTGAGGTAAAGAAACGCTATTTGCACAATAAATTTTTATAATAATTAAATGTATTTTCTTTATATTTATTTGAAAATACATACGCATGTACACACCCACACAAACACATACAGATATGTGTTCATGCTCCTATAAACAATATACGGTTTTAGTATAATTCTCATGTCTGTTGTTAGTTCAATATTTGATTAAATTTATGCAATAAGCAAAAGGGTTAGCTGAATAAAACAATTTCATTTAAATAACCGTTACACCGAAAACAAAAACAAAAACAAAAAAAAAATTATAAATTAATATTTAATATACTAATGCAAGCAAATGAATGTTTGTGAAATACTTCAGCGGTTGCTTTTTTTTTTTTTTAATTTGATTTCTTTTGTTTACCGCAATGCAAATACAATTAGGCTTTTTTAGATATGCATGGGAAATTCTTCTATTTGTATTATTTTTTCTTTTTTTTTTTTCTCTTATTAAAACGTTATTTTGTAATAATTATTGATTATTTCTATTTAATTATTTACCAGTAATTGAACTTTTTACAGATAATTCGCTTAGAGAAAAAAAAAGAATGTAAACAACTGTTGAGACATTAGCGCGCAACGCATTACTTTCAAATTTAATTTAAAAAAAACTATATATAATCTTACATATATACGCAGATATGTAAAAAAAAAAAATAAAATAAAAACAAATTAAATTTTTCACTTAATAAATATTCACTTAATATTGGATGATCCGTTGCCCGTCATCCACAAACGATGATGGCCAACGTTGAACTGTTAGTATTTGTAGCAAATACTGTTAACTTATAGTAACCGGTATAAGGCTAAATAAGCAAACGTTATATAGCTTAACATAATGAACATAATACGTTAACAGCAAAACCAAAAAGGAAAAACAAACAAGTAAATTATATATTCGCCGTAAAGCGAATCCGGTGTACTCACACCACCTCAAGCTAATATACGATATATAGTACATAGTATTTTCCGAGTTATTTATGCATGGACGTGTCAGCAAAGTTAAAAAGGATTCTTTCTACCACTTTATAAGTAACTCTTTATACCCTACATCAATGTGTAGGGTGGATGTATGCAATATCGACACGAAATTGAGACATACATAATAACTTGCTGTTTCGAGTTTCTTTTTATAACAAAAGTTTTTATGGTACGCTCTACTCCTTACTTGCAAAAATGGAAAAAATTGGCCATGTCCACAAGTGTTTTGTACTGCCTAAACTTGGTTTAATTCTAAAATGCATAAGGTAGACACCGCGACCAAGTGGTTTAATTTTTTCATAATAATAGCAGCAATATGGATATCAAATAAAAGAACTTGTAGGGTAGAATAAGAAAAGCATAGCGGTGGTCATGCGAGATTCGTTCCCCACCGAATATAATTTTCTTACTTGTTTAATTTTAGTACTTATTTTTTATATATACGATAAATCGTTACTTAGCAAGAATATTTTTACCATAGATATAACCCTTAAAAATGAGGTCTATTTGGGTGGGCTATCTTCACTTCGGTAAGTAGGCTTGATATGTTTGCGCGAATAATAAACTTTCCATGCTAATATCACAGTCTCTCAGCGTGCGGATTTTGATCTTAAGCAGTTCTTTTCACAAACATTGTCGGCTTTTCTCACAATGCACGAAAACAACCTGTGTCACCGGCTCCATTCAAATTTGTCATCAATTTCTACTGTTCGTATATGAAACTTTTCATCCTATTGTTAATGCCCCGTATTCATGATGACTCGAATTTTTCACTCATCAAAAATCCAATTGAACGCATTTTCTCCAAATACATTGTCAGTGTGTGAGTAATCATGTAAATCCATTGGCAAAATATCTTCTGTTTGAACAGACATCACATCTTCCATTCACAAATTAATTTAATTTTATTTTTTAAATTATTTTAATCGATTTTGCAATTTTATATAGTTTCTTCATACCTACATTTTTATAATGCCGGCAGGAGGAGCAATAACATGCATTATTCTTCTCATCTCGATAAAACATTTACTTACTATCTTTTTGGATAGATTGTAAATAAAATATGTACTAAAAAAAAGAATCATGCTGCGCCCAGCGATGGCTTTCATTTCTTATTATCTCTCTCTCTCTCTCGCTCGCTCTCTCTCTCTCTCTCTCTCTCTCTCTCTCTCTCTCTCTCTCTCTC